TTCCAGCTGGCCTCACTGATCAGTCCTACGTGATTAAATTAACTTCATGGCCATGGTATAGTCAGTAGCTGTAGAATACCACTTACTATTTAACTCTGCTTTTTGAGCCTGAAGGGCATATTTTCTTACTCTTCTGCCAGAAACATATTAGATCTGCAGAGCCTGCAGCTTTCTATCAAAGGGTGGCCATGACCACAATATGAGAAGATAGATGGTTCCTCAATATCATCAGCCAACTTGGCAGTTGCTCTCTGCTCACAGAATCTTCTGCAGGGTCTAGTGACAGAAGAGTAGATACAGCACTGCTGCTTTTGCAGATGTCCAGATGTTTCTGCAAAATACCCTAAAACCCATGAATGTCTATACCTATGGATATGCATACATGCTGTTGAAAGCAGAAATCCATACATCAGATTACAGTTAGATTGCTTTCTACAACCTGGTGTTAGTGCCCATTTCCTCCTATGGTTTTGGCTAGATATATTGGTTTCTGTGTGTCTTGACAGAGGAGAGTATCCATGAAAAAGCTACTGTCATTTTTGAGAGGCGTGTGGAATATGAGCGCACAGAAGAGTTGCCATGGGCCTATGGAAGGTGTAACATTACAGTGTGTCATCATCTTAAGAGTTCTGTGTATGTACACGCTTGTAGCCTCAGGCAATCAGAGTGCTCAGTGAAAGAAATTAAGTTCACTTGCATTCACCGTGGGGCAGTGCTGGCGAGGTGTGTGCATCTGGGCTCATGCTCTGCTTTGCCCAATGTTTGCTTAATACCCTTTCACACAGTCAGGACTTGAGTGCGTGGTGATATTAAAAAAAAAAAAAAGATATGGAAATGTTTTGATTCAGCCAGGATTCCCCAAAAGAACTTTGGGTTCATTCTGTATAATTCATAGAATTGCTAAGGTTCAGATCCCTAATGGAAAAATAAATCACTTGCAAACCCTACTTGGGAACAAACTGACCAATCTGATGAGTGGCAATAATTAATTTTTTAACTTATGTCTTCTCCAATGCTTGGTCCCTGCTTTGTTTTATGGAAATAGTAGGACAACCAAAAGTTGGAAATTTCATCACATCTGAGCATTTGACCAGACATTAGTGGATTTATTTATTTATTTACAGAGTCTGGTTTTGTGGAAGACAGAAAGTGTAGCCAGTCTTTTGCAAAGTCTCATAACAGACTGAGTTGCAAAATGCAGCAAGCTGGGAATTGAACTGTGTCCTCCAAGGCTAAATAAAATGGTTGTCTGCTAGTCATTCTCCCCAGCTGTAATCTAATGCTGGTTTTAATGAATATACCCTTAGTACACTGTAAGCTACAAGAAAACCTTGGGAAACAATCTTTCTCTGCCTTTTTTCGTGTGTTGGCAAAATGCTGCTGCTTTTGTTTTTGGTTTGGTTTTTTTTTTGTTTGTTTTTTTTTTCTTTTCCCACAGCAAAGGGAGTTATTTAGGACTTTTATTTGTTACAGCATCACAGACACAAGGTGTGAGGGGTGGTGGGGAGTGAGATATCAAGAGTCTGGCACCAAAGCAGATAAGAGGCCAGGCAGATATTCAGAAATTCCAGGCTGGTTGTAACTTCACTGTATAGTGCTCAGCAGTCTTCCATGCAGAAGGATGAAATGATTAAATAGAAACTGTCAAACCCTCAGGACACTTTTCAGACACTAGATGGAAAAGGAAAAGAGGAAAGAAAAGAAGAGATAAGAGGGAGAAACGTACCCTGAGACAGCATGTTGTAGACAAAGAAAGTTTAAAATCATCTCCAGCAGTAGCTTAGATTGAAGGAAATGAAGTTGCTGTAGTCCTGCTACTCTGTCCAGTCCACTTGGTAACAGCTAGGGGCCAGGCAGATACGCTGCTTCTACTTTTCTCTTTGTCAAACCGTTGCTTTTCCCAACATCAGTACTCTGCTATGTTTATTACAGCAGGCGCAGGAGGGGCAGCCTGGCCAAAAATTTCCCCAGCCACCTTGCAGACCTGAATTCTGTTTCCTACTAAGCCACTGCCTGGATGTACGTGTTTGTGCAAGTTGCTTTATGCCTGTGCCTCTGTTTCCTAAAGTATCAAACAGAAATAATGAAACTAAGCTCCTTGGATTTAAACATTAGCATTTCTTGTTTGTGTCTTACTCTCTGCTTTATCCCTGCAGTATAGAGATTGCAAATTTTATTGATAAAAA